AGGGTGCGATGCCAGGACACAACGTTGTGTTAGACTTTATATGGCTTTGTGTAGATGAGGTGATAGTCAAGCGTTTGCTATCTATGGAGCCCCTGCATACTCACGCCTCTCATGGAGATGTAACCCCAATATAAGCATGATATAATGTAGTAGTTTCCATTTTTCCATTATCCCCATAAAGCCCCAATATATAAACACATTAGCCGCCAAAAGCCTGCAGATAACGTTTTCAGAAGCGAGGCCAGCCAAAGATTAGCAACAGATCTGGCGGCGTCCGGCGGCATTCGCCCGGTGAGCATCCAGGCTCAGACCTTTTCTTGTCAGAAGGTGGTTGATCTTTTCAGGGTTCGGATTGTTGTTTCAAAATTGCAGGGTTCATTCAGGAACCCGTCAGGGCTCAGACATTGGATGTAGGCTTTGGTGTTTGGTCAACGTCTCAGACGAGGTCAGGTCGCTCTGTCTCAGGGCAGGGTACATTCCACGCACGGAGCCGAAAAACTACGGACACGCCACAGGATCGCAAGCGTGGCCACCAGCAAGAGCTTTGGGAAGCACACTTGAGTTACTTTACTGTTGATAGTACAAATCCCGCATGACCTTAGCCTACTATACCATTATTACCAAGGTATAATAACACAGGGTCATGCAGGATTCTTAGTAGCCACCGTACGGTCTTCGGGGCTTAGCGATTGTCTGAGGCAGGTTCAGCGATGTAAGGTTGTGGGTATTGATGGGGGTGATTCCTGTAGAACGCCCAATGAGGCCTCCCATAATTATGCCATTTACAAACCCCACATATCCTTACAGGGTTTGTAAGGGCCCCCTCTTTTCAAGGTACTCACCAAAAAGGTACTCCCCATTGTTGGGAAAGCCATGTATAGAGAAGGGTACCCCGAGTTTCGGGAAAGCCCCATATAGCAGAATGTCCGGCAACCCAAGACCTCGCGGTTTGCCGGGAATTTTTTTGTGCATTATGGACCACAGCCTTCATATAAACATACAAAACCCATGAGAACTGAATACTAACTGATGACGGAATGGGCCCCTACATCTGTCCCATAGATTGCATATGTGTTCTGATGAGAAACTGTGGAGCCAGCGCCAACCTCTTTAAGCGAGCAAGTATAGCACGGTTTATCTCAAATCCACATATCGCCAGGGTGTGTTAGGGCGCCCCCGTTTTGGAGAATGTCTAGGTTCTCAGAATTAGAGCCAAGCTGTCAAACGTTGGGTGGGATTCTTGGTATGCCACCCTGAAACTGCCCTGGGAATGCCCATGGTATAGCTATTTGAGAAGCATTGTGTGGCCCAAGCATCAGAAAAGGCATGACCTCCAGGAAAGTCTGCCTTAAGTGACCAGGGCTTGTTCCGAACGTCTCAGAGATAACGGTACGGCGTGCCTGCGCATGCCCGCGTGGAAGGTCTACCAGAAGATTCTCAACTTCTTCATGTATCGAAGAGGGCTTGAGGACAGGCAAGACCCTGTTGTTGCTGGGTTGCTGTTTAGGGTTATATATACCCCAATTCATTAATGGAGAATCAAATGGAAAACAAAATGGAAACTGGGATTATGTAGGGCTTCTTTTTCATTTGCAGTCTGAAAAGGCCCGCTTGACTGCGGTCCTCTAGTGCCTGTGGATTAGAGGCTTTTACTGCAATATGTTTATGTGCACATGGGCTGTTACCAACCCAGCACGCCAACTTGTGTTGTCGCGGAACCTTCTGTGGCAGAGTTTCCACATATGCGTTGAAAAGGGTGTTGAGGCAGTGCGCTGAGGATTGGTTTAAGCAATCGTTTGGGTTGAAGGATGCGTGCCCTCAGCATCTTCTCGAACTTATTACACTTCCGGTGAGAAGCTGATGCACCGAAAGCGAGCGATCCGATGGCATCAGGCTCCCGACGCGCGTAGTTGATGCCACTGTGATGTACTGTCATATGTAAAAGAGTTATTATTTTCCGGAAACGCAGAATCAGGATTGATTGCTCAGAGCAGCGCGTGCAGGACCTTTGGGGGCTCGTGGCCAATATCCGCGGTGAAGTTCTACCAGGTGGGTAAACGGAGCTAGTGGGATCCGTAGCTGTACCAATTTTTGCTTTGGCATCCTTATGTTGGGGATCTGATTCCTTTGAGGGGTTGTCTGTGAATGCCCCCCTTCTACCACACAGCAGCTTCAGCTTCGCAGCTTGCAGGACACTGGAAACTTCCATAGTGTTAGGTTCACGGTTTACGATGAGGAGCAGTGCTAGAGTTCCCAGTTCTGGTTCCACAGAGCGCCTCATACATCGTGCAAATTCAAACGTGATGGAGATTGCCATTCTTGGACTTCCTGCCTGGGGGCCTGTAGCGGAACACAGGATAAAGAATTAGGTGGCATGAACCCAGGCAATGGCTGCTGAGCAGACCCCTGTGCTGATCTCAAACTCTTTGCATAAATTTCGCAGCAAGCTGTATGTCCAGAACCCAAATGCCCCAGAATTCATGCAATCAACACCCAGGACCCCGCTAACAAAAACATACATCCTAAGCTTTGAGAGTATGCGGAAGACCCAAGCAGAAAGGCCGTAGAACCATAACACTGCACCGTGATGTTCGGTTCATGTCAGCTGTCTCCTTTGGATGGTTCGCTATAAGGGGAGACTTTACAGCAGCTACATCGTACATCCTCCGTGCCCTTAAGAGGTATAAGGCTAGCAGCTTTCCCCAGCCACAGGTTGTCTATTGAACAACTTGATCTCTGCCCGATGATGCAACCTTTACTCTATAGGTGGCCTGGCAGCGCAGCGGGGTTTCTTCCACGAGAAGGACCTCTGAATTTGGTTGCATGTTGATTGGAAGCATACTTCAAAGTATTCTGCTTTGAGGAAGCCTGGTAAGACACGGAGCCCACTTGGTGGTTTTCCTAAAGTAGGGTACCCCAATATAGGCACGGAAATATGATAATCTTACTACAAGGACCCCCCAAAAAACGTACCCCTAATTCTGGTAATAAGAAAACATTTCGGAGTCCGGCAAACTACGGCAAGGGGATCTGTCCTTTCAACCTGTCTGGTGTCAACAAGCCGGCTCCCACGAACAAAGCATGAAAATGGTAGCACCGAAAGGATGTATAATCAGAAGGAAGCTGCACTTGTGGATGGAAGAAGAAGGCCCCATTCCCTTAACAACTCTTGTTATTACCATTACCATTATTATTGTGATTGCTATGATTACTAGCTAGTTTATTATTAGGTTACCATTATTACCTTATAAACCTTCAGCCCTAAAGCGTGAGGAGCTGGTCGCCTGCCAAAAGTCCAAAGCACTTGAGCTGGCCTCTGGTCGGGGCAAGGTCCGGAGGAAGAGTGGCTGTGGGAAGGGCAGGGGGGTTGGGTCCGTGTAGCTATATATATATATATGTGTATAGTAGGTATACACTATAGGGTTTTGGGTATATATATATAGTAGGTATACAATATAGGGTTTTGGGTTTATATATATAGTAGGTATACAATATAGGGTTTAGGGTTTACATAATTATAGTAGGTATAGAATGTAGGGTTTAGGTTTCAAGGTCGCTCCATAGTATTTGGGCAGGGGCTTTTTCCAGCTAAACTTCTGGGCTGAGGTTCAGGGCTTGCGGCCTAGAAGGAAACGGACTTCTTGCAGGATTTGCAGCTTCTGCGCGTGTCATTGTTTCTTGCGTGCTCGTGACGGCTTCAGCTGCTAAAAGGTTGCTGGAGGGCTATAGACTCTTGGTGTGGGCGACGCTGCATGGCCATGGCATGCGCGGGTGTAGTAAGGTTTTCTATTGCTGAAATGGCAGTTTCCCAAAATCAGTGGTATCATTTTTTGGGGTCCCCATATTAAGGATTATATTACACCGGGGTATATATTGGGGTCCCTGTGTTTCTGAAAACCACTTCTTCGCCAGATGGACTTGGAGAATGCTGCAAGCGGCATAAGCAGCTTTATGTGTTGCTGCACGGGGGCTGGCTAGATGTTTCAGGGGCTTGCCCACATCAAACTGGCATGTTGGCCCGACCCTCATTCGATCCTGAGGTCCACCTCTAAGGGCACGCAACAGCTTGTCACACATCCAGCACAGGACCGTGAATCAATCATCCCGAAGTCACTTTCAACATTGGGAAGATGCTGTTGGGAACTCCTCGCACCCTATCACAAACCCTCAACATGAATCTTGAGCGAAAATGGAGAAAACCGAAAACAGCATCACAGCGGCCAATTGAATTCAGACAGTAACAGATTCTGCTCCCTTAGCAAACAAGACAACAGCGCGGAACAAGTGTCTTGGAATTGCCGTTTGCAGCTACAGACCTGACTGACTTGAAGAGCCGCCACCACTACTTGGAGGTTCATTGCACTTAGTAACTATTTATAACCGGGGTTATAACCCTACTCGTACTTATAATTGGGGTAACCCCTTATAAGGCCATTCAGGGGTGTTATACGTAGGGTTATAAGCCCAGTTATAAGTAGTTACTAAGTCTCATGAACCTTCAAGTAAGCTTCTTGATTTCCGGGCACGCTCAGCACCAAACCGCAACCTGCAGCTTCCATCCCAAACCCTTAACCCTATGAACCACAAACCCCAATCCACACCCCGAAACCCCCATGAATCCCCCATTAATTCCCTCTTCATCCCCCCAGAATGCGCCCCTAAACCCCGTACAGACATTTGGTACTCTCCAAAAATAGTGGAACCCCAACATAGACCCCAAAATACTATAGTCCATATTATGGGGACCTTCAAAAAGGTACCCCTAATTTTGGGTAACCCCCATGTAGGGAAACTTGAAGGTTCATGGGACTTAGTAACTACTTATAACTGGGCTTATAACCTTACTTATAACCCCCCTAAATGGCCTTATGGGGGTTACCCCTATTATAAGTAGGGTTATAACCCCAGTTATAAATAGTTACGAAGTCCCATGAACCTCCAAGTAGGGGATCTAGACTGACCATCCCAAGCCCTTGAAGCCGAGCATCCTCCACCTGCAGATGGGCGTATCGGGCAAGCTTGAGGAAAGACTCCTTAAGGCGCAAGACTTACTGATGGTTCCTAGGGAATGAGGGAATATATATAT